AAGATGCGCGAACCTATAATCGTAGAGATTGTACATGATGCATGTAATAGTAAATAACTAAAGAACAAAAAAAAAAAAAATACTAATAAAATTAATATATAAAATAATACAACTTTATTAATCCCTCCAAAGCAGAAACTAAAAGTGGGGACGATTTGGCATGTTTTAATATTCGAAAATAAGTATTAAAGATCAATTTCAATGTTTCAGTGTGCTGATATATATAAAACACGTGAATAAGTAATATAGCATGAACTCATCATCACTTGTGAAATAGCCTACCGTTTTTTCTCTTTCCTCCCTATTCACAACAGCTTCAGCCTCTTTCATATCCTTTTCAACTTCTTTTCTCTCTTTATACAATTTTTTCAATTTTTTCGACAAATGCTTTTTTGGTCCTTGTTTATCAAACTTTCTCTTTTTACCTTTAGTTTTATCATAAAAGGAATCCTCATTATTTAATGTTTTAACACTTAATTCTTCTTTTAATCGGAGGTGCAAAAAAGTATTTAAAACCTATGTATGATGAACACCAAAAAAACCTCTTAGGAATGTCGTTATTGAAATTTCTTTTGCAAAGAATAAATAATCTACCTCTTCGTGTACAACATAGCTTTTGGATTTAATCATCTTAGTAATTAATTTAACTGCATCCAAACTTGCTTCACCGGACTCATCATTTTTAAAGATTTCAATTATCGTATCACAACACATCGCAGACATCTGAAATATATCAAAGATATGAATACATATAATGATATATTTACAAAATATGAAATCATTAAAAACGAACCTTAGTGAATTTGGAAGTACTTAACCTGCTCACAATAGTCATCATCAAATTCAATCGAAAATTAAAATGTGTGACTGAAATCAAGAGATCACACATGCATTTTAATGCTGTCTCTGTAATTGTGTGTTCTTGGCAAATCATAGAAGGAAGTTGAATTAGAAGACTGCGTTGTGAGAATAATGCTAACAGATAATTCACACCTTTTAATTCAGTTTCCAAAGATTTTAAATAAGCCTGATAGTTAGATACAAGATTTTGTTCAAAATGTCGTAATTTTTTGACTTCTTCGGAAACCTTTTGTTTATTTCAAATTTTTATAACAAATGTCAAAACAAAATGTCGTTTATGCATAATAAATATTTAACCTTTGTTGTCTTTTCTTTATCAGTCAGTTGTCGTATTCGATAACTATAAAGGTTGAAGTTTATGATTTATATGAAAGTCCAAGTACATTAAAGACGAACATGGTACATATTGAAGCCATACCCAGGAATGATGTCTTTATATACTACAAGCTGGGTCAAAAGTGCCAATTTCTTGATTGTTAGATTATTGCTCGCCGAGATTTCTCTCAGAACTTTAAGTTGCCTGATCTTATATTATTATACAGATTTAATATTTAAATCATAAGAAAGCTCAAATGCGAATATTTAAATTATATTACATTATTTTCTGGGTCTTCAATAATCATTTGAGCTATTGTGGCCAACTCTTCTTTCTTCTGAGTTATATCACTATTGCTTGAGATATTCTGAATGGGAATGAATTCAGAAATATCTTCGTCTACTTTATCAGTCTCCATGTCATTTAGCAGATTTTCATCATTATTATCATTATCTGAAGATGAATTTTCGCCATTTTCATTACTAGAATCATTATCAGACTCTTGATATCTTAATTTACCATCAGGCAATTTGATGGGAAGTTTTGTGGGTTCTTTAGATATCCAAGTATACATGGGTGTCTAAATTATTTTGCTCTTGACGTAATTCTAGACAGCCGAAATTATTTTTGACTGTCTAAAGCGTAAATAATTTAATCTGTCGAAATTATTTTAGTATGCCGAAAATATTTTTGTATGCCGAAATTTATTTGTAATAATGCATACCTAATTATGTGTGAAAAAATAAATTTGTATTGAAGAAAAACGTAATTATGATCAGATTTTTTTTTGAAAAAAATTTAAGGTTGCAGATCATTCATTGATTATCTGTTATCAAACTTATTTTTTTGCAAATCAAAAAGATGAAATATTTTTCAACAAGAGGCTCCCCAAATCTTCATACCTTCTCAGAAGCAGTCTTAATAGGATTGTCTAAAGATGGTGGACTTTTTATCCCACAGACGACACCAGCACTACCTTCAGACTGGAAGACTGCTTGGTTAAAGCATTCGTTCACCTCTTTGGCCTTTGAAATATTTTCACTTTATATACCTGATAATGAAATTCCTCGAAAGGATTTAGGAAAGTTAATTAATAAATCATATTCAACGTTCAGGACGTCTGATATTACACCGTTAAAAAAAATCAAAGAAAATCTTTATATATTAGAATTATTTCATGGACCTACATTTGCTTTCAAAGATATTGCGTTGCAATTTTTGGGAAATTTATTTGAGTATTTATTGGAAAAAAAGAACTTGGAAGAGAGTTTAGACGGAAAAAATATAACCAAAAAAGAAAGGATTACAATTCTTGGAGCTACTAGTGGTGATACTGGAAGGTAAAAAAAATAATATAATATATCTATATGTATGTATGTATATAGACTAATGCTTTTTTTCATTCTTTTAATTACATTTGATTTAATTTAGTGCAGCGATTTATGGATTACGAAATAAAAAAGATATTTCTGTATTTATTCTACATCCCCGAGGCAAAGTGTCACCCGTTCAAGAAGCTCAAATGACCAGCATACTGGATAAGAATGTTCATAATCTCGCAGTCGAAGGAACTTTTGATGATTGTCAGGTAAAAAATATTTTATACATATTATTAATACATAAACCTATGCATAAATTAAGCTTAATTATATGGTATTAGGATATTGTAAAAACTTTATTTTCGGATGATCAATTTAATAAGAAGCACCGTCTAGGTGCCATAAATTCCATTAATTGGGCAAGAATTTTAGCACAAATCGTATATTATTTTCATTCGTATTTTCAACTTTTTTCATCGTTAAATATTTTGCCAAGTTCCCCTGAAGCCAGTAATATCTGTCTTCAATATTGTGTTCCAACGGGTAATTTTGGGGACATATTAGCAGGTTATTATGCTAAACGTATGGGATTACCAATCGAGACACTAGTGGTAGCTACAAACTCCAATGATATTCTAGATAGATTTTTTAAAACGGGTAGATATGAGAAAATAGTGAATGATGAAGGCGATGGAAGAGGGAAACACACAGTACATGAAACATTAAGTCCAGCAATGGACATTACAGTTTCAAGTAATTTTGAAAGACTGTTATGGTATCTTGCGTGCGAGTCCATTGATAATAAATCTAGCGAAGAAAGAATGAGTATTGCGGGATCGATTGTGAAAAGATGGATGGAGGATTTAAAATCCAAACAGTGCTTAATTGTGGAAAAATCACAGTTGGAATTGGCATTACGAGATTTCAAAAGTGCTAGGATATCTGACGAAGAGGTAAAGTTCGGAATGAGATCTTTTGAATTTATTTAATTTTAAAATTTTAATTGATTTTGAATTAAGTAGACAAAGGAAACAATCCGTCGTTACTATGCACCACAAGACCTCAAAACCCAAATTTCGTATGTTCTGGATCCACACACTGCGGTTGGTGTAGCAGCAGCCGATAAGCAAAAGATTTCTTCGTAAGTTCTATTTACAATCATATATCAACAAATATTTTACTACATATAATTTATTTTTGACTTGATATAGGAATACGTATCAAATTTGTCTTGCAACAGCGCACCCGGCAAAATTTTCAACAGCCGTTGAAGAATCACTAAAATCATTTAGTGGATTCAAATTTCAAGAAATTTTGCCAACAGAGTTCGTTGGGTTATTGGAAAAGGAAAAAAGATGTGTATATATAGAAAAAGCTGATCCTGAAATGGTTAAAAAAGTTATTGAAAGCGAGTTAGGAAGGGAGATCATTTAATTACTTGAATAATTATATTTGAAGGTGTATTTATTTGTTTGATTTGTTTAATATACATTCTCACGTTGCGGATTATTATCATTGAAAGAAAATATAAATTTTACAGAAATTAGCAAATTTCTCGATAAATATGATATTAAAGTTATAAATATATTTTTCATTACAATTTTTAATAATTTTGTTAGCAAAATTTAAGGTTAGGGACCAAAACTATAGTAGATTTAGACTTTAATTAAGATAAGGTTTTGGGGGGGCTGAACATTTTTACTTATTATATCTAACATTAGTTATTTAGCTATATAGTTTTTGAACACCAATGCTGCATAAGTTGTAACTAGTGTTGACAAATAGAACAAAAACTCATTTTTTTTGTCTTTATATAAAAAAATTTTTTTTATTAATAATTTGCAATTATTTAAAGAAAAATTATAAATGGTGACCCTATATATAGCAGCCAATCATATTTAGGGTTAGTAAAATTTATTTTTTTATTATAAAATTTAGAAAATTTAGAAAATATGCTTAATTTTGATTGGCCAATCATATAGGATCGTCCTTATGCAAATATATATTTAAATATATATTGTTAGAACATTAGTAAAGTAATAAATTTAAAATATTTTTATATTTAATAAAGTTTAATATTAAAAATTTACAGTAGAAAAATAAAAAAAAAATGAATAGATTTATATTTTATAAACCAATAGAACAAACATAGTAAGTGTGACAACTCTGAATTGTAACAAAATTCTAAAATGTACCTGAGTTGCTAAAGAATTCCAATTCAACTTACAATCACAATAAAATTAAATGGATTTCAAATTATTTATCAAGTATGTTTTAGAATTTAAGTCATTTTAAGATAAGGTTTATTTATTCTGCAATGCATTGTAAATGGTAGATCACACAGTTGGATATAAATTTCATAATAAAATTGACGGAGAATTGCTATTACTTTTATATATTGCTGGAATGTTGAAAGTTTCTGCCATTATGTAAAAATCATATAGTTATAAAGAAGAAAATGTCAATAGCTCGCAATCTACCAAAACAATTTGAATAATTTCAGAATCAGAATCAGAATAACTTGTTCTATAGAAACTCAAGAAATGTTTACTTGGCATAAAAAAACATATTTCCAGAGTTTTTTTTTTTTTTTACATTTATAATGATTTTTGCCACGTGCGTTTTTAATATTACCCACTTATGAAGAAGTCTGTATAATAGACACTTCTTGAATGCTTATAAGCATATCAAGACCCAACTGATGCAATTTATTAGCAATATACGTAATTATGTGTCATTCAAGGATCTTGCAGGGAAGTGTCTTTCGATCATTGTATCTGTATTTGCTGGATTTTGTAAATCTTTGATTCAAAAATCAAAATCATCAGTATACTGGCCGATTTATTTCTAAGACGCTTTGAAATCAATTCTTTGAACACATTATGAAATAAAAATAGATAATCTTGATATTTATTTATCAGGTAGAGCATTGCAAAGAATGAAAAAATGAATAAGCATGATGTAATTTAACTATTGTTACGTCAATCGATTACACTTTTATTACAGTATCGAATTTAAAAAACAGGAGGAAACGTACCCGATCCAAAATGAATCCCACACACAGTGTGATCAATTAAAACTAAAATAAATAATTTTAGGTTTAATTGATCACACTGCGTGTGGGATTCACTTTGGATCGGGTACGTTTCCTCCTGTTAATTTAAAATCAATTTATGTTGCTATTACTGTATTAACATTACAGTATCAAATTTAGAATCAACTTAAGTCGCTTTTAAATTTAGTATCAACTTGGGCTACATTTGGAATTCCACTCTAACCTAAGTGGATTCTAAATCTACAATAATTGTAATTAATTGCAATTTTTACTTTTACTGTAAAAATTCGTGATAATGTAAAATTTTAATAAACTAAAAAAAAACCAATTACATCCAAATATACAGAAATACATTGCCATTAACCGTAACAGTATCTAAATGATTCATAAGTTAAAGCAAGGTACATTCATATAATGATCTACATACTGCATAAATTGTATTATTGATATCTACATAACCCGCTAACCCTAACTGAATCAAAAAAGTATCCCTACCTGTTCCTCATATTTGGCAGTGTGAAACAATACTGTCGATCCGACGCGTCATTTATTGTTATACTATTGTTATACCCAGTTGATATTGCTTCTCAAGAATGACTTCTTATTGAAAATGTCAGTTTATTCCGCTCGCATACGTAAAAAAATCTGAAGATTACGAGGTAAACATATTCTAGTAATAGACAGGCGAGCCCTTCTCACACGTTAGGTCCTTCGTGAGGTCACTTGAGTAATTTGTTCGTTGCAGGGAAAAGGAGCAACATGTACAGAACAATATTACAAAAGTGACACCCATTCGTTATGCAGTCGTTCGAGACCGCAAAGAAACCTTTGTGAGGTCACCTAAGGATGACTCCCATTCGATCTGCATATTAGAATGAGGCCACTAGGACATCGCCTAACGAAATTTCTTTAATAAGGACTACTAATTCCGAAGAAGAAATTTACGTTTGCTGTATTATTATAAAATATTTTACTTAATAAACACTTTATTAATTTGATTTTTTTTTATTTTTATCATATACGTATATTTAGAATAAAGAAAATCAACCACTGCACAAAAAATTAAACACAACAATCGTATGCTAAGGTATATTATTAGATCTTTGAATATATACTTGCTGCCCAAACCAAAACTATTATAATTTGGGGGTTTCCACGCCCAAATCCCAAACTCAAGCCCAAACTAATATTTCAAAAATTTTAATCTTTATTTAACAAATATTATCAAATTTATTTTGTTGATTTAATCTTTTATAAAAACCTTTTTATCTTGGTAGTAACGTTGACAAAGATATTACAAACGAGGGTGTACCAAATTATATCGATTTATTCAATTTAAAGATTGATCCAAAAACTCTAAACATTATTAAATACAAAGTTTTTCACCTCGTTAAACGTATTGACACAGAAAATTTGCTAGAAATCATGCAGAGAAGATGGAGTTAGTAGAAAGGATCATAAGGGCAAATGAATCGCAAAAATTGGATATGTTGGAACGAATAATTCGAACAAACGAATCAAAAATAACTGAAAAACAGAAACATACTATAAATTATAAATTTATGGTTAGAAAGTATAATCATAGTCCAAGGCGGATTAGAATAAATGCGGAGAAGGTAGAATTAGTAAAAAGAATTATGAGGGCGCAGAAATTGTATATGTTGGAACGAATAATTCGAACAACGAATCAAAAAAATCAAGGAACTTGGGAGAATTGAAAGCTCATCGTGGCCGCAGCTACAAGATGTTGTAAACGTTTTTCTCCCGGTTTCAGCTAAGTAGATGACAACATTCATAGGCAGAAGTTTGTCTGATTGGCTAATAAATTTAATTTTACATTATTTATACAGTTTAGAGTACTTTTCAAAAAAACGAAAACCAACAATAATAAAGTAAAAAAA